CTGGCTTTTAGAATCTCTGTTGAGAAGTCAGGTGTAATTCTGATAGGTCTGCCTTTATATAGCTGACACTATTAGTGATACTCTGTTATGATTGTAGACAGGAGCCTAGCACAACTATCCTCTGAGAGGCTCCACCTAGCAGGTGACTGAAACAGTTGCCAACACCCACATCCTAGCACTAGAGGGAGCTCAGGGACTCTTACAGAAGAATTGGGGGAAGAATTGAAGGCCCTGGAAGGGTTAGCAACCCCTCAGGAAGACCAACGGATTCAACTAACTTGGACCCTTGCTGGATCTCTGATACTAAGCCACATACTAAAGAGTATACATGGGTTGGACTGAGGTCCCTGGCACATATGTAACAGATATGAAGGTCAGTGTTCTTGTGGGTCCCCCAACAACTGCAGTGCAGACTGTTTCTAAAACTGTGGCCTGTCTGTGGAATCTGTTCCCCAACAGCTGCCTCATCTAGCCTCAGTGGGAGAGGATGCGCCTAACTCTACAGAGACCTGAAGCACCAGGGTGGAGGGGATGCCCAGGGGGCCCCTACCCTCTCAGAGGAAAAAGGGAGGGAAGATCGTAGGGAGGGACTCTGTGAGGGGAGACTGGGAGTGGAGGCAGTGATCAGGGATAAAATGAATGAATGAATGAATGAATGAATGAATGAATGAATATATAGAGGAGGAAAACACAAGAGACAGGACAATCAGTTCTCTGCTGTAATTTTACTCTCATAAGGTTCAAAGCCACAAATCTGAGTGACAAATGAAGGGCTTCTGGGGCCTCCAGCAAATCTCTACTAATTGAAGTGAGGAGAGCTCCAGAAAGGGCTGAAGACTTACCTAGGCAAAGGATTCAGAGGGATCCTAAGACCTTGGCAGGGACACTGCTCCCTGTACTGTGGAGGATGAGGAGATCCTAGCCACAGATCTCTGGCCTGTGACCCTGGAGCCTTCACTGCCAACCAGATCTGCTGATTCCTTGCTGTATGAGGCTGGACTGCTCCCAGGATCTTTCCTTGTCTCAGCCTCCTACCTGTCTGCAGTGAGAATTTTGGTTTCTTTAAAAACTCAGTTATGTTATGTGAATATGGTTTTGATTTAATCCCAGGTGTGCTTCAGATTGTCCATAGCCACTGACTGTACATTTGTCTTGCGCTCTAGGTGGGGTGTGATTTTTGCTAGCTGCAGTTAGTTTATGTTTAAAATTATGGGGATTCTTGAGAGGCTATAAATGCCAAAGCCCTGAGAAGACCAGTAGTGGCTGCTCCCCATGCTACTGACCCCAATGCTGCTGATTACTGCTGCTGTGTTGGCTGCTTTTGCTATTTCTGATTTGCTGGTTGCTGGTTGGAGATATCCTGACAATGACGACTGGACTTGTCCCTGGGAACCTGACACCCCTAATCAGCAGGAAGTAATTTCAACAGATCTATAATCCCTTTCTCCTCTAACTTTCCTTTTCTCCAACTTAGTGTTGGGGTGCTAGAAGGGATTAATGTGGAACAAGGGTTGGAAAGGTAGAAGATGGAAAAGCCCAATAAAAAAAGCACACAATAGCATGCCTAAACTGTCAAATTGGTAGCCTCCATTTACAGGGAATTTTCACAGATATTTGTTGAATCTTCATAGGGTCCTTCAGATAGAGGAGTCCTTATTAGCCTGAGCATTCCTGACACAGAGGCTACACATACTTACAAACACTTACTAGTGCACACAGGGTTCCACCTAGGTGCTGCCATGTTTTAATCCCATAAAGGCTCATTTGTTTCAACTTCTGTTTCCAGGCTACTGGTACTGGTTTTGAAGACTAGGACCTTTAGAAGGTAAAGCCTTATTGAAGAAAGGGGATCACTGAGAGTGGACAGTGAGGTTTTATAACCTGTCCCTTGTTTCTGATCACTCTGATTCTCTACTCTTGATGCAATGTGACCAGCTGACCTCTGGCTCCTGCCTGCAATGCTTCCCTTGCCATCACTGAATGGCTACCCTGGAACTGTAATCCAGACTAGCCTCTTTAGAATAGCCAGTTATTTATTACAGCCATGAGCAAAGTTCTAAAATGGGTATCTATAGGTCTTCTTGGAAGACATTCTACATTGCTGGCTTTGTCAACTCTTGGATTATCAAGTGTCACTTGGGCATCACCTACATAGACTTATGCACCGTCCACATAGAGACCCACTTCCCTTACTTCACTAAACTGTATGTATCTTTATGCTCTGATAATTGCTCTGGAATTTCACAATACAGCTGGCTAAAAGTAGCAGCTCACAAACACAACATCGCCTGAGTAGTGTTCTGTCTTGATATTTTCTCTGACAACAAAGTTAGTCTTCTACTTTAAAATTTAGCCTCATTCAGATTGTCAGGGGATGGGCCAAGCACAGCCACAAACTTGCCCAAATGTAGCTGAATGGCTTCTAGCTCATTTCTCCACAGGTTCCTTCTTATGTTCTCTCAAATGTCACAGGCTCAGGTTTTCCTGTCTGCCTTTGTGTGAGAATTTGGATTTTCACAGTTTCCATGGTGTATTAAACTATTCTTCAAAAGCTGTGACACTTCTCTAGCCCACAGCTTCAGACTCTTCTACACATCTCTTACAAATCAGTTCCAAAGCCCTAAAGACAGGATCAAACTTGCTAGAACAATGAATCTCAACTCTGGTACTATTATCTGTATTAAGTGTTCACTTGTTACTGTGACCAAACACTTTTCAGAAAAAAAAAAAAAAACTTAATACAGGAAAAGTTTGTTTTGGTTCCATTTTTAGGAGATACAAGTCTTTCATGGTGGGGAGAACATGAACGCTGGAGAGGCCTAGTCTGTGGCAGCTGGTATCATGCCTGGGTCATATCTTGACAGATGAGGTAGCAAAAATTGAGGCCAAAGAGCATCCAGTCTCAAAAGCCTCCAACACAGTGTTAACAGGAGGAGGCTCCATGCTCAACCCTTTGAGGCCATGGAAGGCACTGCAGATTCAAACCCTTCCAGGACACCAAAGACTGGGCCAACAGTTACTGTCCCTGAGTTGTAAGCTTCTCCAGATAGAGGCTTCCTGAGGTGGACTGTCCTCCAATTCTGTCCCAAAGAAATTTCCTCACATCCCGTCATAGCCTATATGGAAAGTGAGACAATCACACATCTGGGAAACATAGAGACCTCCATGCTAATTAATCAGTGCAGAGCATCAGAGTCCCTTCATTTGGCTCGTGCCTAGGAGTGAGCTCATGCTTGGGAGTCTCCTGGTGCTGAAGCTCAGGGATAACATTGCTAATGGCATAAACCACAATTACAAACATGTTAGATGAGGGTCAGTATAGCCCTGGCTCTGACCCTTGCTCACTACATGACCTGAATGAATGAGTTTACCTCAGTGTCTTTCTCGTGGCATCGGGATGTGAAATATTAAGAAGACCTCTCTAGTTGCAGCCTCCATGACAAGGACAGAATCAGGAACCCTTGGGTATCACCAGGATCACTGATGTTCCCGGGGGACTAATCTGGAGATAGCATCCAGAAACTAAGTAGCAATGGAAGGCTGAGAGAAGGTAGAGAGTAAGAGGTCTTGAGATGCCCCTTAGGAAGAGGCATCCAGCAAAGGCCACGGCCTCCTAACTCCAGCTGTCTGTTTTCCTGGGTCTCATGATGGCGCCAATATACACGTCTGTATGTATGACCGGCTAGATCGTGTTCTGCCATATTCGACAGTAGCTGTGTGCCCACTCTCTCAACGATTCTGCAACTTTGTTCATTTATTTTAAACTGTGAGGTATCCCCTAAGTTCCTTCCAGCCATGGCTTCAGCCACTCATCTGAAATCTCACCAGGCACATACCCCACGCCCTGCCAACAACTCCTTTTGCAAGGACTGAGGTAAGCCACATGCCAGGGTGCAGTGAAGATTTTAATGGTAGGATGGTGGTAACAGGTGTGGAGACTACTCAGAGAGGAAGGGAATTTTGGAGGGTCCTTTGGGTGGTCTCAGGTAGATTGTGTGTGGATGATAGTAGCACTTTCTAGAGAGAGATGCCACTGGAAGTAAGACGAAGCCACTGGTGAGTAACCTGGAATGTAAACAGGGAGAGCATCAGGACATTGTCTGCCTCAGCGGCAGAGGGAGTAGGCATTCACTGGGCATGAACTACGTCCATGGTAGCCTTGCTGTGTCCACTCAGGCCTACTGTGCCCAGCATGGCTGGAGCATCTAGAGAAGAGAATCAGATTTTCAGTCTTGTTCTTGCTCCTTGTCCTGGCCACGTTTCATCCCTTCCTCTGGAGCAAATACACTTGGAAAAAGATTAAGTAAAGGCCACGCCCAAGCCAGGGTGAGGATTCAAACCATGGTCAATGGTCTATGCACAAAGCTAGAACTCAGTCAGAACCTCCCAATTCATTTAGTAACACAGATCCTGGCTCATGCTGGGTTCATGTTGCTGACTTTGCATTCAGGGTGTACTCAAACTCAGAGTTCAGCCTGGAGTCAAGATCAGGTCTCAATTTCTTTAGTCTTGTGACAGAAACAAAATTAGGCTTGCCCTGCCTTCCTGACAGGCTGCTGTGCACAGAGCACAGAGCCTACTTGTGTTTGATGAGAACCACCCCCATAGGCTCATATAATTTAGTTATATTTTGTAATAACAGTTACAAAAACTATTTGAGTAGGATTGGGAGGTTTCAACTTATTGGAGAAAGTGTCACTAGGGATGAGCTTTAAGATTTCAAACGGCCATGCCATCACTAGTTAGCTCGCTTTGCCTGGTGATTGTGTATCAGTAAGTAAGCTCTCAGCGACTACTCCAGCGCCATGCCTGCCTGCCTGATGCCATGCTTATCACCATGATGGCCATGGGACCTAACCCTCTGGAATTACGAGTCTTAAACTAAATGCTTTCTTTTACAATTCCCCTTGGTCATGTTGTTTTCTAATAACAATAGAAAAGTAACTAAAACACTGCCCATACCAGCAGGGATTGTCATGGCATCCTCCTGTTCTTCCTCTTCAGATGGAAACTGGCAACTGTCCTGTCAGATTAGCTGAAGAAACCAAGTCAAGATTAGCCTCAGTCTTTGTCACGGCAAATTGAACAGAAGCCCGCTAAACTCATTTCCTCCCTCCAGCCCATCACTCTGTCACCTGTGTGACCTCAATCAAGTAGATTGCTATTCATTTGTGCCCCACTGTACAAACTCTTGTGAGGACCCAATGAGGTAGTGCAAGACACAGAAGGACTGTGTAAAGGAACATATCCATAGAAGAACCACCTCCAGAGCCTGACACCTAGTGCCTGATTCCTGTTGTCCCAGAAACTCTGTCAAGTATGAGAAGATAAGGCTCAAATGAAGCTTCTAGCGAGAAGAGGAGGAGCCAAAGGCCCACCTTGGTCAGGATACAAAATCCCTGTATCCCTGTATCCCTGTATCCCTGTATCCCTGTATCCCTGTTTCCCTGTATCCCTGTATCCCTGTATCCCTGTATCCCTGTACCCCTGTACCCCTGTACCCCTGTACCCCTGTACCCCTGTACCCCTGTATCCCTGTATCCCTGTATCCCTGTATACCTGCATCCCTGCATCCCTGCATCCCTGTACCCCTGTACCCCTGTGCCCCTGTACCCCTGTACCCCAGTACCCCTGCATCCCTGCATCCCTGCATCCCTGCATCCCTGCATCCCTGCATCCCTGCATCCCTGCATCCCTGTATCCCTGTATGGGGTACTCCTATAGCTCTTGCTTTGTCCCATAAAAAGCTCTCCATCCCCAAACTGTGACTTACAGAGGAGACCCTGAATAACACCTGCATTCAGATTTCTGACGATGTGCTGGAGCGTCGGACATAGCTGAGAGACAAAAAAGAAAGTGGGAGGAGAAAGAAGGGGAAGAAGAAGGAAAACAGATGAGACTTTGCTGGCAACACATTACCCACCTACTCCAAACAGAGGGACTCATTTCCAGGATCCGAGAACAGTTAACTTTGCAATCTGAATCAGAACTGTCCCAGGCTACTAAGAACCCACCATCTCAGGACATCAGAAGTTCAGGATCTGAAGATCTAGCATCCAGAACCCCAATACGCTGGACTCCTAAAAACCTTGAACTCTTGAACCCTGGAACTTTAAGATCCTCAGAAGGCTGAAGTCTTTGGGCAGGCCCGAATCCTAGTTTCCTGCGGGTTCTCATTCATCAGTGTTTAAATACAGATGTCTATATAACGGCATATTGATTGCAAGAAAACCTTAGCTTAAAGGAAGATGTGATACATATATGTGGTAACAGCTCAAGGCAGGACCTGTGGTTTCTGCCTCTGCAGTCCAGCTACTGAGGAGGAGGAGGAGCCTATAGACCTCTCAAAGAGAAGTCTACCCCTCCCAGAAAATAGTATACAGAGAACCCAACCCAACCACACCTACAGATAACTCTCCTTCCCATACCAGGCCTGATTCTAGGTACCAAGAGCTGAGGACTTACAATGTTTTGTACCAAGGTTGACACTGTACTTGTAAGGAGGGAAGATATACTATCCAGAATACTGTTGATGAAGAAAAATCGTCTGGAAAAGAAGGAACTTACAAAGCTTAGTCAAGAGTTCAGTATAGATCAGAGAGTCTTCTGGAGATCAGGTGACCCACAACCTTGCTCTTTGGTCTCATTTCAACTTGTCAGGATGGACCATCCCTGGGCATCTGAGCATCTCATGCCTACATAGCTGCTTCCTTGGTGCCTGAGTGTTCATCAAAGCCCTGACAGGGCACTATTCACTCAGATTCTATTTACAGAGCACCAGGTTGAGCCTTGGGAAACCGGGCAGCTTTTAACCTCCTTCATAAACAGGTCTCACTGAAGTTGCCTCCTCCCACCTTCAACTTTCATCCAGTTGTTATCTCCTGGGGCAGCCCATGCTGAGTGTGCACTGAAGTGAAGGGTTTCTTTCCTTATATCCCGCAAAGTATGATGATGGTCTGTGTAGGGCTTTTCATTGTTCTTGAATTCATTGACAGTTCAAATACTTTTCTCAATGCCTTTTCCTCATGATATGTCCCAGGAAACAGAGAGCCTGTATGTTTTCACCAAATGGTTCTCCAGAGCTTAGAACAATGTCTGCCTAGCACAGAGCAGATTTTTTTTTGTTACAAGAATGAGTTAGGGGGACAAGTAGATAACTCAGTCCACAAAATATTCACCTTGTAAGCATAAAGACTTGAGTTCCCTTTCTAGTGTCCATATTTTTAAAAAGAAAGAAATTCCAGCTGATAGCAAATACATGTAGTCTAGCACTGGAGAGACAGAAATGTGTAGATTCCTAGGACTAACTGGTCAACCAGCTTAGCCTACTTGGTGAGCTCCAGGCCATTGACGTGTGTGTGTGTGTGTGTTCACACACAAACACACTCCACCAACCCAAAATAAGTAAGGACAGGTCCAATTAAATACAGAGTGATACCTTGTATGATGTCACCCACATTTGGACCCAGTCCTCAGGAGACAGAGCAGGTAGATCTCTGAGACTGAGGCTAGCCAGAGCTGTACAATAAGACCATGTCTCAAAATACGTATGTACACAAAAGACAACAGAGACTAGTACTTGGAGGTTAAGGGTGTCTTCTTATAAGAAAAGAGAAGTAATCTAGCAAAGGCCCTGAAAGATGAAAATATGAAAAGAGTTGGGGTATGAAGAAACATGTTTTGCATAAACAGAACGTCCATGCAAAGGTACTGTAGTAGGAAAAACCTTGTATGAAGCCCCAAACAAAAGCCATTGTCTAAGTGTAAAGGCACATTATGAGAGCCTTCTTGGCCATGTGTATTCCGAACCAGTGGAACAGCATTAGCTTCCTGGGGCTCCTGGGCAAATTGAGGTCCTGTCATTGGTTTGAGATCAGATCATTGGTAGAGGACAATGGGTAGTCTTGGGACCTGGCTATCAAGACTGGAAAGAGAAGCCATACCTCCATTTCTGACCAAAGATCCCCAACCCCAGCCCTTGACTCTCAGGCCATGTTTTCTCTCCCAGTCCTCTTCCCACCCCTGCAAGAGCTGAAACTGCTTTATTAAGCATAAAAATAAAGGCACAGATTTTTGAGGATCAATGGAGATCCATGATGAAAAAAGACAGGGATAGGATGCCAGGATCTCACTGAAGAAAATTTTCAGAGGGTTAAGATTACTTCAGGACAATCAGAGCCTATGCTAGCTTCTAATTTTCCAACTATGTCCAACCTCCAGAAGGATGTAATGTTAACAGCTTCAGAGGCATGAGGCACATTGACCCAGCTGAAAGACACCATAGCTAAATACATGATTGTGGCTAGAGAGGTCCATCCTCCTGCTTCAGCAATGGAAAGGAATCATCCCTAGCGTCTTGTGGATTATAGTTCTTGAGCTCTTAAGATGTTCCAGGCTCTCTGCTAAACATGTATGTTTTCTCATATCTTTATCCCAGTAGAGGATCTCTACTGTTCAAATGCACCGATAGGGAAACTGAAGCCCCAGAAGATGAAGCTGCAGAGTAACAGAGTTGAAAATGTTAACACAGTTGATTCTTGAGGCTACTCCGATTGTGTGTTCCACTATACTGCTGCCCAGGTGTAAGAATACGGTTAAATTCAGGGGTCCTAAAGCCTCTCTGAGAGCACAGCTCTGCTGGGATGAGTGAGCCTTACCTGCCCAACAAGGAAATGGAGATTTTGTCTGAATTACTGGAGCATTTTCCTACGGTCACTTCGGGAAGGCCAGTCTGGGCATTGACTTGAACACCGAGTGAATTTATGAGGTCCAAGGAAACAGCCAAGTCGGCTGTCTTGCCAACAACAGGCCTGCAGAGAACAAGAGTCACATTAGACTCAGGTCTAGAAGTCTTTGCAGGTTGCCCTAGTTTTCATCTATCCGTGTGGACCTAATCCAGTGTGTCTATGGGTGCAATGTTATAAATGAGTGACATGTGTTCAATGTCAACATTGTAACAGTAGTATTAACATGTTACATATTCTCTACAAAATTTACACATTTATATTAGACTTCCTTGGGCCATGCATGTTTTAGTACATGCAAGATTTTTGCTTGGATGAGACTAATACTTAAAACAATTGCTAACATTTTGTAATGTAGTTGTAACATAGCATGAACTGCCTGTGGGCATTCACTTCTAAGTATTGTACCTGGTTTAATTCATTTAATCATGACAACAGTATTAGGAGAGAATCATACTCCTTTTTTTTTTTAAGTGAGAGATCCTGGCCATACAGAGGTGAAGGGACTACCCCAGGACCTTACATCTCATGCCTTTATAAGTGCATCAAATACAAACATCCCTGGCCCACCAATGGTGACTATTTGAGGCCAGGGTCACACATATACTAGGTAAGTGTTCTCTCTGAAAGATTCTCCCCCATCTCTAGAACGTCTTTTGCAGTGATTCTTGGACATTTTTCTAGGTCTCTCATTTGAAATTTTACAATCTTTAAAATTTTATTTTACTTATCCAAAAAGTCTAGCCCAAATCAATGATTTCCAGTTCCTGTGAGAGATCTTATCTCAGAAATTAATGTGGCACACCACCACATTGAGGTAGATTGTTGATGTAGACCTCTGAACTCCTCGACGTGCGAGTACATACATGAAGCTGTATACACATGAGTGCACACATATAACACACACACAAAGGTAGACTACATAGAACATTTGTTTGAAAGAGAATTAACATGCCCAATCTTCATTAGAATACTTTAAAGGCTGGAATTTTAGGCTTCAGAAAGTCTCTCTTTTATAGATTAGGAAGCTAGAGCCAGAAGTCACATAGTAGCTGGGAATTAAATGCCTATTCAAATTGGCCATGTTGCACCACAGTCTCAAAATCCAAGTGACATATACTCACAGAACCACGGAGATGTCCACAACCAGGGGCAGCTTCAGGTCAACGCCTTTGCCATCGGAGGACAGCTCAGCTTGAATATCCAGGACTTTGAGCTTATTGACTTTCAACCTGCCCAAAACACACATGTGCCCTCTTATCCTGCCTCTTTGCAGCATTTGCATCTCTCCTCATCACCCTCTTGTCCCCCTATATCCTGTGCAGAACTGTGAGGCTCCACACTCCCAGGCACAGTGCACTCATGGAGGGAAACAAGAGGCTTATCCATCTGTTGTCGATATTGAGTAGTCAGGTAGTCCCTTTTCTGGAAGCAAAGAATGTCAACTCACAATAAACCATTCAAAGATGTAAGCTGATTTAAATTTCCAAGGTTAATATTGTTCAATGGTGCTAGAATGTTGTCCTTGACTGATGTCAAACTTGTGGCTTGCTGAAGTGACTCCACATCCAGATTCAGGTTCTGAGGGACATCTGTCAAAAACAGTCATCAGTCAATACCCTGCACCACTAGGGACTTCCAACCTCCTGGTTTCTGAGAAGTCAGTTTCCCTCTGCTGTGTCATTCAGTCCCTGCAACAACCCAGTCAGGGCAGGATTGCCAGTAGGGAATGCTTGTCAACAGCTACCATAATTTAAAATTCAAACCCTTTAAAATTTTGGAATCTCACATTTAAGAATTTATCCTGAGCCAATATATATTGGCAAGTCTCAATTAGAGTAATGTCCCAGCAGTGTTTCTTTCTAACTGATAAGAGCAAAGCAGGAATTGAATAGCATCCCATTTCTCAGTGAACCACCCATAAAAGACAACACTGCCCCCTCCCGGCAGCCTCTGCAACTGCAGGCATGATGTTTATTAGAGTTTCTCCTGGGACCAGCTAGCTGAAGGGACCCATATAACTCACCTGAGACAGTATCCAGAACGTTCAAATTGCTCACAGCATTGCCAAGATTACCAAGAAGTGATTCTGAGGTCCCAATGAGCAGGCCACACAAGACAACAAGGCTCCCAAGTTGGAACATCTTTGGTTCTGACAAATGGAGAGTCATAGTAGGAAGAAGAAACAAAAACCCACAATTAATGCCTCCTGAGGACTCTCGGTGGGAACTCACTTTAGTGGAGCCACTACTCACCTGTTTAGAGAAGGATGCACACGAAATCCTTGTTTCTCTGCACAGTCTCCTGGGATTCTGGGGTGACCGTGGCCTTATATTGTGGTCTCAGGATGAGAAGCAAGCCCCATTTCCGATATGTTCTAAAGAGACTCCAAAGAAAATACCTAAGGTTAGCCAAGGTATTCCAACCCAAAGGTCACCCAGGATGCTTGAGTGACGGTGATGAACCTTGTGCCAAGACCAAGGTCCTATGTTGTCAAACCTGAGGCTGTCAACAAGGGTATTGTTGACAAGGGTATTGTTCAGTATTGTATGGAAAAAAGATCCAGAATGAATCAATAGAACAATGTTCTGTTGGGATGACTCACAGTGTTTGCCTAGGCTAGCCCAGTCATCTTTTGAGAACTCATAGAAAAGCCAACGGTTTCTGGTTGTCCAGTGGGTACAGTAGAATTATGACTCTCAGGTCGCCCAGACCACCTTTCCTATGCAGCTGGCCGGTATCCCAGAGCTGTAACCACCTCTGCTGGGCAGAGCCAGCCTCAGTGAGGGGCAATAATGACATTCTTCCACATGTTACTGACTCGAGCATCTGTATTTTAAACCAGCTTCCTAGATGATTTTTGTTCAATGCTCCTTCAAGGTTATTATTTCTCAGAATAGAACATTCCAGCAACACTTAAAGTAAGAAGAGAGAAAAGGTGGGTCCATGGCCACTGTGCTGCAGAGAGTTATTCTTTCTTCATGAAGCCAGCATGACTGAGTGAGTGGCTCACATCTGTCCTACCTTGACACTGGTCATGACTGTAGAGTGTCTCTGAGGGCCACATGCTTCCATCGGGTTGGAAGTAGATGATACGTGAGTTCACAAGCCAGGATGGCTATGGTCTGAAGGGAGGAATCCAGTTCCCCTGGCTTTAGAATAAACCACAGAAGCTAGGGGAAAACTCAGAGACTGCATCTAGCATGACGTATTGCTGGATCCAGGCCTTCAAACGATTCCATGTCCTAATACTGGATTCATTCTCTGATGAACTTTACCAGATAAAGTAACTGAAAACCTTTTGGTGAAGACAGAGAGGGGTGCGTGGAGACACAGCTCCTACATGGTCATAGAGGTTACTGCCATCAGTAAGAAGCTAAAGCAATACTTTTATGGAGACTCCATCTTCTAGATAAAATGTATTTCAGCAAGATGCGTCAGCCTAGAAGGCACTTGTTCCACCTGCATAAGAACCCATGTTTGTTCTCCAGAGTCCAAGATAAAGTGGAAGGAGGGAACAACTCCTAATCGTTATCTTCTGACCTCAACATGTACATTATAATATGTGCACTAGCACACACACACAAATAAAAAACTGTTACTCACCCATGAACAATATACACACTCACATACAAATAAAAGACTATTGCTCACACATGAACAGTATACACACACACACACAAATAAAAAAAAACTATTGCTCACACATGAACAGTACACACACACACACACAAATAAAAAATTGTTAATTCTTACATCAAATAGATTGTGGCCTCTGAACAAAGTTGATGCGTCATGTCCTCAGCATATGGGGACAGAAACAGCAGGACTATGAATCTCATGAGTGACCTCTATGTCACATTTGCTGAGCTCACCCCACTGTGAATTTCAGAGCCCCAACTCTACCTTGAAAACTGTGGCTTGTGTGCACAGCTCTTCACGGTGTGGACTGCAGAAGCCTAAGCCCCTATAAACAGCAGTGACCACTGCTGACGTTTTTTTATTTACCATTAGCTGTCCTGCTCCATCTTGTTCTGTTTCCCAGTGACCTAGCAAGAGGTTCAGACAGGAAGGGGCTTTGTTGCAATGAGAGGGCAAGGCCTGTGCCCCAGGCCAGCATGAGAGCAGCTGTTTCAGCAAATGGCCTCCTGGGGGCAGCAGTGAGCAGTTCTTGTCCTTCCTCGGGAGAAGATGTAGACATTTGCCTGCTGTCGGTCCTTCAGGTTAGATACACTTGTTTAATAAGCCTGCTGATTGTCAGGACGTTCGTTTGAGAACCTCATTTTCAGTGGAAGGAATGGGTTTCTGAGAGGCCTGCAGCTGTCAAGGTCGCACAAGGATAGAAACCAGTGCTTGGGTCCTTCCACCTACATCAGGCTATGTATAGCCAGCAGAACAGGAGTGTCGCTAGGCTTGTATATCCTGTCTTCCTCAGAGCCCCATTGTTTGAACTAGTCACCAAGGCCTAGGCCCATGAAAAGCCAGAACAACACAGAAACATTTGGGAGCTGAGCCTTGGGCTAAGGAACAGGACAGAGCTGGGCCTTTAAGGGCCTGGCCTTTTTTGGGTTTTGCTTTTTCATCCCAAATGCTGCCCTGTTCTTGTCTCCTCCTCACGGAGTCCCTCCCCTATACCCATCCCCTTCTCAGAGAGGGTGGATTTCCCCCCTGGGTATCTCCCCACCCATCAAGTCTCTGTAGGATTAGGGGCATCCTCCCCAGCTGATGTCAAGCTATGCAGCCCTGTTGGGAAATGGATACCACAGTCAGGCTACAACTTTAGGGATAGCCTCTGCTCTAGTTGTTGGGGACCCACACAGAGTTTAAGCACATATGTGTCAGGAGCCTCAGAAGAGCCTGTGTATGCTCTTTTATTAGTGATCCAGTCTCTGAGAGGCCCATGGGTGTCTTAGTTGACTCTGTTGGTCTTCCTGTGGGGTTCCTATCCTCTTCAGGGTTTTTAATTCTTCCCACAACTCTTCCATAAGAGTCCCTGACCTCCATCCAATGTTTGCCTGTGGGTATATGATCTGTTTCAGGCAGCTGCTGGGTGGAGCCTTTCAGAGGACAGTTATGCTGGGCTCCTGTCTGCAAGCAAAACAGAGTATCATTAATAGTGTCAGGGATTGATGCTTGCCCATGGGATGGGTCTCAAGTTGGACTGGTTATTGGTTGGCCATTCCTTCAGTCTCTGCCCCATCTTTGTTAGGTCCTGTCCTTAACATGAGGTGATCAAAGCAGAGGACGTTGTGACCTTGTAATTCTGTGAGCTAAGGTAGTCAGAGTCTACTGTGGCCTTACCATGGATGGCTTCTGTATGCAGACCCTCTTTCTGGCTGCCTGCCACCATGTTCCACAAATCCGTGAGAATCCTGCCTCCAGCTATGGATCACAGAGCCAAGGACTGCTATGAAATCTTGTTAAGTAGGGATTTTCACACCCTGGGAACACAGACTGGGAATGCTGGCATTAGACTGGGGACATCAGGCTTGCTGCTGGGATTTATCCCCAGATGCTTCAGCTGCTATGAGGAGAAACACCTTGTACGTGCATCTCCTTAGTATAAAAGGCAGGCAAGTGTCTAAGGCATCATGAGGGTGGTGAGGGGACTTGCGGGGAATCCTCAGAGCCTGTCAATGGGACTTGAAAGATCTGAGTTCAAATCCTCACTCTTTTTACTGCTGGCTACATGACCTGGGATGGGGTTTTCTCTTCTTCTGTGAAGTGAGTCTGGAAACTGCAGCTTACCTCCTCGCTACCCCTGGGTAGATAAAACAGGTGGGAAACCTATGTGAGTGCCCTCACACTGGGCAGGCTGTGCTGCAGACACTCCTGACAATGTCTGCTATTGTGTTACCTAGCAAACATAGAGGGCTCTTGTTGGGGAGAGGTTAGGCTGTCAGAGGTCTTCCCAGATCTGTACTTGACTATTCCGAGTCACCTTAGAATGTGTACAGGAAGTCTCCTTTAATGAAAAGCACTTGGCTGTTGAGGACAAAAGACTGGGGCCATAGGGGATGAGGGATGAATTTCTCATTGAAAATCTCCAGTGAGGCATTAAGGATTAGCTGTCCCAGGGTAGGACTTCCTACATCCAATATAACTGCTAATCCCAGTTATGGCAGCTTCCTGTTCTCACTAACCCCAGCACTTAAGCAGTGAGCTGGTACTTGTTCCCAGTCACCACTCAGATCTCAGTTTGGACAAAGCTACTGGGACCAGAGAGGCCAAGTGGTAAGGCTGGGGTCACACAGGAATCAGGCCAGGCTGAAGGTTGGGGATTCTGCTCCCCAGACTTCCCGCACTTATAATGACAGAACAACTAGTCCCCAGACTTCCTGCAGGACAACCCAAAGTCAGCCTTTAACACCACCCAGCAATGCAATGTCGATTTGCACTTCTGTAAGTTCTGTATTGCTGAGCTATAACCTAGCTGCAATGCTGTTTTTCTTTAAGGATGGAAGGAGGGAGACAGATAGAGACAGAGAGAGAGACAAGGAGAGACAGACACAGAGAGAGAGAGAGAGACAGAGAGAGAGAGAGAGACAGAGAGAGAGAGAGAGAGAGAGAGAGAGAGAGAGAGAGAGAGAGAGAGAGAGAGAGAAAGAAAGAGAAAGAGAGAGAGAGACAGACAGAGACAGAGACAGAGACAGAGAGAGCTCATCCGCTTTACTTCAGTTCTCATAGTTGATCCAACAACAGGAAAGTTTTTGCATATAAAAAATAGTAAAAAAAAAAAATCTTGAAACACCTGCCATTTTATCACCACTAAAAGTAGCAAATTAGTGAAACCATACAACCTTAGCAGCTGAAGAGGTTTTTATTTCGCTTTCAACAGTGTTGACATACACAATTTGTATATGTAAAACAATGCCTCTTGGGCCTGGAGAGATGGTTCTGCACTGAGGAGCTTTTACTTCTGTCCAGAAAGCCAGAAGACCCACAATACAGCTTACAATTTCCTGTAACTTCTTGCCTCAGGGGATTCAAAGCCCTCCTCTAACCTCAGCAGGGCCCTGCACACACAATACACATAAACTCAGGCAAGCAAAGATACTAACACATAAAATAAATAAATCTTCAAAACAAAACATTGCTCTGAGCCCTGTCGATCCGAGTTACACAGAGCCCCTGGGACCTAAGC